TGGCAGGAGCTCGGCGCGTCGCTGCGCTGGAGAGCCGGGCGGGAAGGAGGCGAGGTGTAAAGAGGGGGCGTTTCGAGGAGACACGCAGTTGTTTTACATAGGCAGGGTGAGAAGCGAGCGCGGGCAGCGTTGGAGGGGCATGTTCTGGGGGTGGACGGAGACCTGGCGCTGGTGGAACCCGTCTTAGCATGTGTGAGGGCACAGTGCTCCTCAGTGCGCTTGCCTCTGACCTGAGCAGCTCGCACACGGTGCCGAGATCTGTATTAACAGCAGCCAAACAAGAGAAGAATTTAAAAGACCTTGTGTGATGCCTTCGTGTAAGTGCGTGTGTTGCGTTCTAATGGTTTACAACCATTAAAGACAATGCTCATGCATTGGAGACACTGCAGTATGTGTAAATTGAAGATATGCCTCACTCCTGGGCTGATTGATGACTTCAGCTCTGGGGAGGGAATATTAGCCCATCTGAATAATCTTTCAAAGTTCCATAATTAAAGCCAGAAGGTGTCTTAACGGCTGTACAATACAGAATGTAAAACTTCATGAGTGAAAAAAATCTATCAGTATGGAAAGCCAGCATCACTTGACATTTCAAAATACCTTTCCCATTTGGAGACTGTTGAGAGATGAGGTGGTTGTGTTCTAGAACTAAATGTTCCTCACTTAAATGGGTGTAGTAAAAAAACATATGTCCATTTACATTTTTATTGCCCAAGGTAGATTAAATGGGGTTGAGACAGTGCAGAAATTGTGGAGCTAGTGCTTATGGTAGACCTTAAAAGAATGTAAGCCTTGTAGAAGTCAAAAAAATGCCCTGTTCAATTCTACCCCTGTCATTAGCATTCTGTATGATGCATACACGCACTTACCATGCTTCTGAATTGGTTCAGTGCCAGTATGTAGGAGATTGTGGGTTCAGATTCTGCAGGTACAGCACATGTCCTTCTGGCCACTGTTCAATCCCATGTGAACATGAGCAGGAATAATATCTTGGCTACAGAAAGGCCCTTTTGGGGAAAGATGATCCAAGCAAAGGAAGGGTTCCTTAAAGAAGAGGAACAGTGTTACAAAGGAGGTGCTCGGAGCTGGCGTAGGGTAGGAGAAAGCGAGGAGGAGAGCTGTGGTGTTGGAGCAGCACTCGGGGTTGCACTGTCCATAGCTGTTTGAAATGGGGCTGTGTTTGTGAAACCTGGCACTCTGCCTGGGCAATGAACTCAAGCCTGGTGTGTTTGGAGTCGTGGCCTGACGGTGGGGGTGCTGTGCCCCTGCAGAGCATCGCGGAAGTGTTCCGGTGCTTCATCTGCATGGAGAAGCTGCGCGACGCGCGCCTCTGCCCCCACTGCTCCAAGCTCTGCTGCTTCAGCTGCATCCGGGTGAGTTGGCTTGTTACAGTCTGTTCTGGCAGAGGTATGAGCTTAAAAACTCCTGATCTTATTAACGCATTCTTGCTTCCTTCTCATTGCTTTTCCTGGAGTTCCAAGGATTCCTTTTTCCTGCTCTGTGCTCTTTGGTTTCCCTTTCAGACCCTTTCCCGGCACGCTGAGGGAGGCTGGGTATTGTTCAGCAGCACTAATTATGGGCTTTCTCTGGAATAACTGCTTTTAAGAACCAGAGATATAATGATGCTGCCTTCAGCATCTTTTGAGAGTCAGTGATGCCTGTATGGAAGATAAAAGTTGGGATAGGAATCAAATGCTGACTCTGCACCTGTCAGTATGGAGCACTGGAGGGTCATAACATCACCTTTTGTCATCTTGGAGCTGTTCTTGAATTCTTGCCAAACGTGTACGATATGATCAGGTACAGGCTAAATCTTTCTCAGGGGAGGCTGGTAGAGCAGGCTGAAGCAGGATCTGAATCTCACTTTGGTTACTGAGGTCACATCACCAACTTGTACCACTTCAGTGAGTCCACACGCTGATGCACATTAGTGCAGCAGGAGAGGGTTCAGCTGAGGTCATCAGGCCTCCAGTAGGACTTCAGAAATCAGAACAATCATCATTTGCTTTGAAAGCTCTGTCAGGAGCTGTAGGTGAAGGATTCATGTTGCATATTAAGAATATTCGATGACATGTTGTTGCTGGGTGGTGAGAGATTATTCATGAGAATCTTTAAATGTAGTAGTGAGCTGACAAATATAAACCCTGCAGCTGCTGAGCTTTTACACTTGCATGTTGTAGTGGGCAGGTGAAGTTCTTTCCTCAGCTGCTTGTCTTTGGAGCTTCCTGGAAGAGAAACGTTCAAAGGGTCCTTGTGAATTTGATCATTGACCTGCAGGTATCTAACCTGTGTGTAATTAGCTCAGAAGGAATAAAAACAATAAGTTACCTTGAAGTCTAATCATTTAGACTAAAAAAAAAGAAAATAGGCTGGTTGTATCTTTTGCTTTCTTTTGTTGAAACATGCTTTTTAGTCTGTGGTAGGGGAGTCTGTGCCAGGTGTGGGGGATCTAATGGAACATTTGCTACCTCAGAATTCTCTGTGTAATTTTAACTGTCTGTGACACCTAAAGAAAAGTGGTTGTTCTGTTACTAAGATACAAATAGCAGCTTCTTCTGTGGCTAAGTGGCTGAAGGGTTAAATTATGAATCTGTGATAAAAAATAGCTGCTAATTAACGATAGAATGTACTTGTTTCCAGTTCTTTTCTTACAGTCTCTTTAAAAACATTCTTCCTTTTTCCTCCGTAGCGTTGGCTGACGGAACAAAGAGCTCAGTGCCCTCATTGTAGGTAAGAGATTTTTAATATTAGAAATAAATTATTGGTAATGGGGTGTACTGTGCTGTTATGATGGTTCTTTTTTCTGCAAAGGTTGCACTAAATTTATAAGCTTGATATTTGAGACCTGCCTGCTGTTAGTATAAAAATTTAACGTGGTGTAATACTTCCTTTCAAATGCATTCTGGTTCTGTGACAATCTAAGCAAGGTCTTTGTTCCTCCCCTGTTACACTGCTGGTTTCAGAGCATGTAGTTGGTGTGGTGAGTAACTGGATGACATTCCCTTAGAACTCATTCTTGCAAGAGTGACAAATAGAAGCATCAGTTTTAGACTGACAGGTGTCCTTTCCTATACCTGTAATTTGTGAGACTTACCTTGTGTGTTGGGTGTTTGAGGGGTCACTATGACGTGTCATTTGTTTGGGTGTTTTTTTAATACAATGCCCCCAAGCCCTGGCAGCCCTTAGCACCTCTAGCCCTTGAGTACTGAGCAGTTCTAGCTCCTGATAGACCAAAAACTATGAAGTAGCAGATTTTTTTTTCCCTTAAGGGAAAGAAGGTGTTTAAAAATAACTAACCAATCATTTCTGCAGAGTTTGTTTATTTTTAAATGTTTTAAGTATTTGATCAATAGCTCTAAAATGCTTGTGAGGGGATAAATCTAAATTTTACAGAAGGGGCAATTGAAGCACCACAGTGGGGATATCTGAGTCATGGGAGACATTGATGGAGCACTGAGAAGCAAAATTATTTGCCCAGTGTAATCCATGAGCTTATCAAGAAGTCTGGAAAGAGTTCCCCACATGGCTATTCTGTCTGTCACTGTGGGGTGACTTGTAGTGGTTCCTGTCCCCCCCCAGCCCCCACATGAGCAAACTGACCTCAGACATCTCATTTCTTTCTTTTTCCTGAAATAACTAGTACAGCTTCAGCTGTTTGCCTGTGATTTTTGTGATAGCATAGAATTGATGAACTGGATTCACTTCCATGCTTCTCTGTTAGCTCCTGGAGCTGAGTTTTTGCTCTAACTCTGTCCATGCTTCTTGCAGAGCCCCTCTGCAGCTACGAGAGCTCGTCAACTGTCGTTGGGCAGAAGAGGTCACACAACAGCTTGATACTCTTCAGCTGTGCAACCTCACCAAGCACGAAGAGAATGAGAAAGACAAGTAAATGAAGCATTCCTCACATAAAGTGTTTTGCAGCATGCCTTGTATGAGTAGGCTTTTAGTTTCAGCTCGCTATTAAAATCAGGGAACAGACTGGGAACTTAAAGCTGAATGGTGCTCACTGTCTGGCTAGAAGTTGGAGTTCATGTCTGTCATACTTAATGGAACAAGTAAAGCCTTCAGTGTCCTTGCTTAGAAACCTACTACTGCTGTTTGTAGTTTGTCTCAGTATGGCTCAGCTGAGAGATGCAGGGAGCATGAAGGATAGTTACACTCCTGAAGGCTCTTGGCCTTTCTTGGTGACCACATGTCTGAAATGAAAGGCCTCTCTCCATGGCTTGCTTGTTTGGCAGTCCCATTAAGACTGTGGGTGCTGATTTGATATCTCAGCACATAAAAGCTGTTCTGAGAAGATGTCTTCTAGTCCCTTGTGAAAATGTAACTGCCAAAGCCAGTCTGAGCTCAGAGAAAATCTCACAGAAAGCACTGCTATTGCTCTGTCTGTGACGTTACTGGAGTTCATCCTCCTTCCTTGTCTTTGGAGCCTCCTGTCTTTTCTGAGATTCTCTTCCTAAGAGCAGCTGTCAGTACTTTCTCAACAGGCTTTTCTCCTGGTGATATATTGTGTGTATTAAGATTTATTCTGGAGCTTTGGAGGAGAAGAGTGTGAGAAGCAGCACTGAAAAATGGATAGGGACTGATTGTGTTCTGTGGGTGCTTCTTCCCCAAGTTCCTGACTCCTGGTGGAACTTGGAAGGGTGAGGCATGTGTTTGAGGTCTGTGCTTGGTTTGTTGGTTGTTGCTGTTTGTGTAGCTTTAAGAAAAGACAAAGATCAGTTTGTCCAAAAAGCTTATGAGCTGTTACTCTGTGGTTACTTTACGTAGTGTACGATTAGGATTTTAATAATGTGAAGTAAGAACTCCTAGAACTCTGAGCTTGATTCATTGATGATCTCCTTTATCTGCTGGGTAGAAATCTAGTTTTAGTAACGTGCTTTCTCACCATCTCTCTCAAGTACTTTTCTGAGAGAATACTAAGGGGAACATTTATTTTACAAGAGATATTTACCAAAAATAAGTATTCTTGCAAAGCTACACTGGTGTTTTGTGCTGTACTCAATATCAGGTAGCAAAACAAGTGAAAATGTAAAACAGAGTTTACAGAAAGTTCATGGCTATTTCCTGTTGACAACATGTGTATTTTTTGTTAAAGGTGTGAAAACCATCATGAGAAGCTCAGTGTCTTCTGCTGGACCTGTAAGAAGTGTATCTGCCACCAGTGTGCACTTTGGGGAGGAATGGTAAGAAGGGGTTTGCTCAGGCACAGGTTTGACAGCAGCTGGAAGAAACAGAAATGCCATGAGACTGTTGTTGTGGCTGTTGAACTGCTGTGCAAATACTGCTGTTGTTCCCATGGAATAATAAATACACACTGGTTGTGAAAGGTGATACCTTCTGTTTGTAGTTAGAGAAGCAAATTGGATTTTTGTCCAAAGGAAGTCTGATTTACCTTCCTTGTTATAAGCTTCATGATATCTTGGTGAAACTTCTGATGGCAGGGAGAATTTTAGGGTCAAAGGAGGAAGGCTTTCTCAGAAAATGACTCATGTTACTCAAATGTTCTGGCCTGTAATTTGCAATATCTTCAAAGCTGTATTAGCAGCACCATTCATCATGCTGCACAATTCACCATTATCCATCAGTTGTGTACTCCAAGGAGAGGCTGCTGTCACTCTCTGGAACAGAAGTGGTTAACGGTTTGCTGCCTTTGGGAAGGATGTTTTAATAATAATAAATGACCCTTCTAGTTACTTGATTTGTTAGAAAATTGCGCAGTGAATGAGGCATTTTATTTTTGGTGGCCTGTTGAGGCTCCAAATAACTCTTGACAGGAAGCTTTGATGGTGTGAAAGCCAAATTCATGATTTCTTAGGAAGGGAAGTGAAAGACAGACTTCCTACGTACAATCTGCTCTGGAACCTTTCCAAGATGAGTGATACACTAGGAGGCTTTCTTCCGCTCCCTTTCAGTAATCTAATAGGAGTGGAATAAAATTAAAATGAGATGCTCTAATATTCTCCTCCTCCCTCTTTTTCTTTAACAGCATGGAGGACATACTTTTAAGCCACTGGCAGAAATCTACGAGCAACATGTCACAAAAGTAAATGAAGAAGTGGCAAAGCTTAGGAGAAGACTCATGGAATTGATCAGTTTGGTGCAAGAAGTGGTAAGAAAGCTATCCAAGATAGCACTTAAGTTTTCCTGTAGAGTGCCATTGTCAGAGGATCACTAGAGTGGGAAATGGAAATACTACACATCTCATATGCTTGTGATACTGCAGTTCAGAAGCTGTTGCTTCTGTGAAGATAATGAAATTATCCCAGAGGATATCCAGCCACCAGGATGGGCTGTAAAGCAGCTCACCCGTTACAGATGTGAAGTTTTTGTGCCTCCTTTTTCTTCCCTACAGGAGTAAATGTGTTAGATATCCAAATATCTACATGTTCAGCTTTGGTGGCTTCAGTGGGAATTCCAGCAATTCAATATAGGGCTATTTTTGTGTTCTGCTGAACGCTGCCACATTCTCTGTGGAGATGTGCAAATGAAATAAGGGTTTTGCTCAACAAGTTTCCATATGCTTTTTGTCTGTGCTGTTCCTCATGTAGCTGATTGCTGCACGCAGTGGTAGGTTAGCTCTGCTTCAGCAAAGATGTGATTGGCACTTCTACAAATACTTACAAGCAGCCCACTTGATGAATGCTGAGAGAATTGCAGTCCTCACCTGCTTGGGTGAAGGATGCAGTTTTTATCAAATTATTCTTATTACCAAGAAGGAAACTTTTTTATGGTGCTCAAGTTAGGAGAGAAACTGGCCATTATATTTACAAATGTTGATATAAAGATCCCCACACCACAGATCTCTGCAGTGAGTGTTGCTCAGCTTCACTGTTAACCTTTGGTCACCCAGCAGAGGGCACGCTCATGTATTCAGGAGAAGTCAAGGGGTGTTTCTGGCTGGCAACAGCAGCTGCCTGTAATGCAGCTCATCTACTGCCACGTCCCTACTTCCTTACCCTAAACATGCAAGAGTCGGGGACTCTAGGGAGGCCTCTGCATTTCTGGGGTGCAGGTGGAGTCAGCACGTGGAGGAGTGGGGCACACAGCAGCGTGAGGGCTTTGGGGATGTGTTGCAGGAGAGGAACGTGGAGGCGGTGCGGAGCGCCAAGGACGAGCGGGTGCGGGAGATCCGCAACGCCGTGGAGATGATGATCGCCCGCTTAGACACGCAGCTGAAGAACAAGCTGATAACACTGATGGGTAGGTATTGCCTGGTCAAATCCAGAATCCATACATTCACCCCTATTTTGTGCCTATATTGAATACAGTAATCAGCCAGTAGAATGTCTCGTTGGTCTGTACGTACGAAGAATTATTTTGTCCATGTAACACCTTTTTTTCTAAAATATCCCAAACACTCTTTGGGTTTTTGATGTATGATGGAGACAAAGTCCCCATGATAGAAGCCAGAGAAATGTGAGTTAGATTTTTATTCTTTTTTTGTCATGATCTTTTGTGTTAGATGAAATGTAAAACCACATTTAAAGTTTGTTCTGTTTGTATGAAGAAAAGACTTTAATCATCCAAGTCAAGAGAAATTGGTGGCTTTTAGGAGAAAAGTGTCAGCTAAAATGAGAGAGGGTTGTCTGGATGGGAGTGAATTCAATGAAGTCAAACCCACTTTGGCTTTTTTTTTTTTTTCCCAAAATATAGTACTCCAGAACAACAGCTCTGCCATTTCTGGGGCACAGAATGTTTCGTTACTGTCTTAACCTCAAGTGAATTGTTCACTACAGCTCTAATTAAAAGTGTAGGCTTGCTTTTGAAATGCTTTCTCAATCAACCTTGGTATATTTAGAAATCCTTTATCTTAGTAGGTTCTGGGGCAGCTTCCAGATTAAAAAAAAAAAAAAAGCTCATTTATGAAAATCCAGTGAGTGTGTCTTTGTCTTTAAACAACTCTTCTTTTCTTTAAACAGGTCAAAAGACATCACTTACTCAAGAAACTGAACTTCTGGAATCCCTGCTTCAAGAAGTAGAACATCAGGTGATTATGGAAAGAGATGAAATGTTGTTACATAGATCCCTCCTCAGACAACCTTTCGTATGATTTTATTTTTAACCTATTAATTGGTGGATATTTCTTGAGGGTATCTTTTCATTTAAGTGGCCTTGTGTTGCACCATTCCTTAAAAACAAGTATATCTTCTAGACATAATGAAAGATATTCTTCTGTTGCTTAAATTAGTACAGGAGTTAATAGCAATATCATATAAACTATGCAGCTCTGTGTTGCTTTAAGGTCACAGCATTTAGGTGGTGTGGGTAGGTTTTGTTCTGATGCTACCAACTGTGTGCAAATAGTTGGGGCTATAAATGGAGAGTGAACAAAATTTTCTATATGTGCTTTTGAGGAAAACTGAACTGGTTCCAGTTCTTATTTCTGTCTACCTGTCTTTCCAAGAAGATGACATGGTATCACTTCTCTCATCTTGCTTCTAGCTATACAAGTTCAGCTTTTGTAAATGGAATATTCAATGGAAATTCAGCTTGGTTGTATTTGCCCTGAACAATTTCTGCTTGCTCTGAGCAATTGGCAGGGTTCCTCCCTTCAGGCATTTACTGCATCCAGTAATTACCTTTCAACAGAGTCTGATATCTTAAGTTTGGGATGGGGGATGTTTTTTGTGAGTGATGCCTCTTGTCCTCTTTCTCTGTACTGCTTATGAACTGGCTGTATCACCTGATCAGCAATTATCATGTGTTTCTTGCACTTATTTATGTCATAGCTATGATGTCTTAGGTGAAGAATTGATGACATCAGGAGGAGGAGTGCTCTGGCATACTGTGCATCAGTGTATTTGTCTGTTTGCTGAGAGCTCTCTGTGTAGAGATAACCCAGAAATTACACTGCAGCCCAAACGAGGACCTTCCAGATCCTCAATAGCAGTGCATATGCAGCTCTGCAGACCAGCTTCTCTTGCAGAAAAAAATAAAACAAACCACTAAATTGGTGCTTTGTATTTTTCCCCTCTCTAGCTACGATCATGCAGTAAGAGTGAGCTGATATCCAAAAGCTCAGAGATCCTGCTGATGTTCCAGCAGGTCCATCGCAAGCCCATGGCCTCGTTTGTCACTACTCCTGTCCCCCCAGACTTCACAAGGTAAGCCTGGAGTTTCCTTCAGTTGTAGTTTGAACTTGAAAGCCATCTTACAAGGTTTGTTTTCCTTGTTAAAAGATGTTTAAAGTAACTTAGAGGAGCGTATCTCTGTCCCATGTTGCTGTACCACTGTATGGAGGGGGGTGTTCCAGTGAGTCTGGGAGGTAGGTAGATTCTTACATGTGGCAGCCTTCTGTAAAACTGGGACAGGAGAGTACCCCTGTACTTTATCAGGTGGGTTTGAAGAGTGGGTGAAAGGCAGCTGATGGAGCTGTTGCTGGAGAGCTTGCCTGATTTTCCCCTGCTAGTGAAGGGGAGTCCTCCTCAGCTGTATGAGCAATGTGGACTAACATGATTTGGTCTGTTTCTGTGTTAAAGTTGAAAAGAATCTGACTAATTTGGGTCTAGGTTTATACAGTCAAAATGATAAACTGCTTATCTTACTCCTCTTAGTAATCTGTGCCTCAAATAGGCTTTTCTGTTCCAGCAGGGCTTATTTTATGTCATCCCTGCTGGGGAGTCAGGACAGCAGGTTCCAGCTGACAAGATTTTTTTTAAAAAAAGTATCTTTTACACTTAGTTTACTGATCTGTCCTTTTTTCTTATTGGGTCATTCAGTATATAATTGCAAGGCTCTCATGAGATGCCTCTGCAGATCACCTTAATTCAGAACATATAGCCAAAATCACTTCATAGCACAATTCTTTATGAAGAGAGTGCTGCTAGTGCTGGGTTCTGAGGAAGTCTGTTGAGAGTTTAGGCTAGCTGGCTGAAAAGCATCTCCAAAAAAAACCAGAAAGTAAGAGAAGTCTTAAAAGAATTCTTCAAATAATTTAATTGAATGCCTGTCTAGCCATTACAGGTAAAAGGGGAAATCCTCTTAAATACTTTTGGTTGCTTTTCCCTTCATAACATAAAATACTTGGTTTGTGTGATAACGAGTGGAGAGGCACTGGGAGGGAGGCTTATAGATGGAGCTTTCAGAAACACTGAAATCTAATGTAGTCCTGGTGAATTTCAGTGGCTCTGGTGACCTAAAGCATCTTAAATGCTTCTGAAAATTCCAAAAGTTGGGATTTTTAATGTCATGTTATTGAACTGTAATATTTTTAACTCTTTCTCCCTCTCCCCAGTGAATTGGTTCCAGCCTATGACTCAACTACATTTGTTTTGGAAAACTTCAGGTGAGAATGTATTTTAAGTTACTGTGAATATTGGGAAGCTTTTTCTGTTTCTTCTGCACATGAATAGTATTCTTTAAAACAGAACAGTCTATGCAGGAAACTGTTAGATATCAACTAAGCTAAAGGAATTCAGTCAAAAATCTCTTGTTTAGTTAATGTTAGTTCACCTGCTAAACTGTTAGCTAAAAACTTTTTCCATGGTAAAGGCAAACTTATTTCTCTACTTGCAACATTATCCTTTTTTTTTAAAGACAAATATATAAATAAATCTATCTAAATAATAATTATTGATAATGATTACTAATAATAAATGCTATAAATAAAATCTCTACCTGTGGACACTGACCATTCTGCATGGGCCTGCTGCTGCTGCATGCCCTGTGCAGCAGGGGGGGAGGCTCTGGAGTGTCAGTGCAGCTTTCTGGCTCAGGGAGGGGTTTGCTTTGTCCCAGCTGCAAATGGTTTTTTCTTTTCTCACCAGTACCTTGCGTCAGCGAGCAGATCCTGTGTACAGCCCACCTCTGCAAGTGTCAGGACTCTGCTGGAGATTAAAAGTTTATCCAGTGAGTGTTACTTTCAACTAGACTTGTTATCCTATCCAGAACATGTAACCAGCACTGTGCTTCTCTTGTAAGGAAACAGCAGTCGGGCTCTTCTCAGGTTGTGTGTGAAAAGAATGTAGAGCTTGCAGAGTTATCACCAGCCATTGGAGTTTTCCCTCTCTGCTGCTAGATAGCCAGGGTGAGCCTTCTCAGTGTAGTTATCTGGTTAATTAAAAAAAATAAAACTATGCCATAGGAACTTTAATAGATATTTTAATTGTTTTTCTCTGAGTTTTGGCAGATGTTTCTTGCAGAACTGAGGTACAGAATAGTTTATGGTATTGATGTTCATGAATAACCCTTATTTGGGAAGCTGTGAGGAGGACAAAGTACTAGTTGAAGGGGAATCTGTTTTTCTGTGCATCCAGTTCTCAAATGCTGACATGAAAACCTGTGCATTATACTCACATCCTTTCAGAGAGCTGAATATTCAGATTTCTAAAGCAGTATTTTTTTTGTCAGTTTTGGGATGTTAACCCACCAGGTGTGATCTTTTTATGGTCCACTAGTCTGGTCAGTGCTTTCAGGAAGCTCTGACTGCTACTACAGTTAGGAGGGATCCATGTTGAGTGGGGGAGCACAGTTTTTGGTTGTTGGTGATTTACACAACATCTTCAGGGAACTGAATTCATCTGTTCAGCCCATGTACACACAGAACTGTGTTCCTGCAGTGCAGAGGTGGGCCCCTGGGTAAGTTTTCAGAGTTGTGTAAAGTCAGGATTGCCTCTGTAAGGTTTGCTGACAGAAGGCACTAATATTTATTTCTTAAGTGGTAAGTTGAAATGTTTCTTCAACCTAGAGGGTTCACGTTGAGCTATTCTTCATCCTTGATTCAGGTGAGTGTGATGGAGTTTTTGCCATGTTTTTCCTGGATTTATGGTGATTCTAATACTGTTTCTCAGTTAACTGACCTAACTTTTTCACATTGCATGGTTTTCCTAAAAAAATCTTTCAAAAATTAAGTAGCTTTTGAAATGCAGCTGTATGTAAAACATTTCAGAACTAATGTTTAACCTGAGCTGTTTTCACATTGAGAATTTTGAGAACTGTGCTGTAATAAACTGAGTAGATTTTGAGCTTTCTCACTACTTTTTTTCTATGTCAAATACATGTTTATCTGATACATTGACAAGTGTTTGTCTATTCAGCCTTCCACTGAATTGAACCCCATAAATGTTATTAAAGTAATTAAAGCTCTGGTTTGAGATTTATATCCAGGTTACTAGTACTAGACTACATATGTGCTTCCAGATGCAAACTCCAGAATTTTGGGAACTGGGCTGTAATAAACTGAGTAGATCTTATGAGCTTTCTCACTACTTTTTTTTTTCTATGTCAAATACATGTTTATCTGATACATTGACAAGTGTTTGTCTATTCAGCCTTCCACTGAATTGAACCCCATAAATGTTATTAAAGTAATTAAAGCTCTGGTTTGAGATTTATATCCAGGTTACTGGTACTAGACTACATATGTGCTTCCAGATGCAAACTCCTTGCTGATGTAAGTTAGAGTTCTAGGTCACAGAAGACTAAAAATCAAAACTGAAGCATACAAAGTAGACTACTGCTGCAAATTCTGTATTGATTGAAGCTGTTTTCTAAACCTCAAGGGTATATTAAGGTGTTCTGTTCTTGTTTTAGTTTTCTGGGTTTTGCTTTCTTTTTCTGAATAACTTATCTCTCAACTTTATTTATTTCAAGGATGGAAATGGAGTAGTACGGGGCTACTACCTGTCTGTGTTCCTGGAGCTGTCTGCTGGATTGCCAGAGACATCCAAGTAAGTGAACATGTAGTAAGAGCAGCCATTTCTGTCTGGTGTTCTGTTTTGTTTGGTTTTTTATTGGCAAAGCATCTGGAGAATTTTGCAAAGAATGTTCTGTAGTGTTGCTAGGGACAGCTGCAGAGCTCTCTTGAAAAGAAGAGTGAGATTTCTGTTGTCCACTGAGCTTTGAATCATGCCCAAAGATAATATTTCAAAGCTGTTACTCAGTGGCTTTCTTGAGTTAAAAAGCAAGCTGACAAAACAACTGATAAGAGTATCTGTTTCCAAGTATTTGGTCTTGGAGTTGGTTCAGCACTCCCTGTTACTGCTTTCTTCCCCTTCGTACTGCTTATGTAAGTGTTCAGTAAAAAGTTAAGGCTGAGTCTCCTCTCCAGCTGGGCACGGAGCCTCCCAGGGAGGCCACGTCTGTTAAACTCGCCGTGTTTAGCAGTTCTGACATCCTGATTGTGGCACCAATACCTGTGACCTTCCCCCGTGTAGGTACGAGTACCGTGTTGAAATGGTTCACCAGTCCACCAACGACCCCACCAAAAACATCATCCGGGAGTTTGCCTCTGACTTTGAAGTTGGAGAGTGCTGGGGTTACAACAGGTTCTTCCGTTTAGACTTGCTCGCCAATGAAGGCTACCTGAACAGGCAGAATGACACTGTGATCCTCAGGTAAGGTGTCTGAGTGGGGCTCCACGCTGCTGTCTCCTCACAAAGCATCACACCCACTGCTGGAACAGGAAATAACTGAGGAGTTGAAGTTAGACTAATTCTGACGTGTTTTGTCATAAATGGGTTTAGCTGTCATAAGCTTTAAAGAGGAAGGTGTGCTGAAGGGAGTTGTGGAAAATTGAATCTCTCTGTCTTTGAGAAGCAGCTATGCTTGCTGCTCATCAGCCTGGGTTAGAGATTTGTAGCCAAGTGTGTTAAAGGAAGAGGGTGTTTTCTTTGGAAACAGTGGTAGTGAGAACAAGAGAGCTGTGGGAATAAAAAAAGTCTGTAATTTAAGAGAACTAATGCTGTCAATGGGAACTGTAATGTCATGACAAAATACGGATAGGTTATCCCTCTGTTTCAAGTATTCTCTGTCCAGTCCTGCTCTTGCTCCTGCTAACTGCTTTGTAGTGTGTTAATTTTGTTAGTGTTGGTTTGTGAAGACTCCACCTACAAAATACTGATGCTGCCATTCAGTGTGTTCAGGGTAGCGAGTGTAGAGGGACATGGTGGCTGGCAAGTTTATTCCCTTGCTAGAGCTCAGGTTGTACAATGTTCTTATGCAGGGTGTTCTGGATTTGGGCAGGGGGGAACAAAACCAAAACCCAAACCAACAAAACCCAACAAACCCTTTTCAACTGTTCCTTTGAAGGTTCCAAGTGCGCTCACCGACCTTCTTCCAAAAGTGCCGCGACCAGCACTGGTACATTGCTCAGCTGGAAGCAGCTCAGACGAGTTATATCCAACAAATAAATAACCTTAAAGAAGTAAGTGGGATGTGCAGTGATGTAAAATTACCTTTTACTGACCAGTCATTACCTAGTTTAGGTTACAGTGTTTCTGTTTGACAGCTGTTTGAGTTGCTAGTGGTACTTTGACATCAGCACTATTAAAATAGTTTATATACAAGTCAGCATATTACTGGTTTGGTGATGATGCTCCACTGTGGTCTGTGCTCATTTCTGTGTATCCCTCTAATACCTCAGAGGCTCGCGATTGAACTTTCCCGGACTCAGAAGTCCCGAGGCATTTCCCCCCCAGACACTCATCTCAGTCCCCAGAATGATGATGGCCCAGAAACGAGATCAAAGAAATCTGGACAAAGCACTGAAGTGCTACTTGAGAACGTGGCTGCCCCAGGATTAGTGCGAGACAGCAAGGAAGAGGAGGAGGAGAAGATCCAGCATGAAGACTTCAATGTAGGAGTTACTTTTTTCCTGCCTCTCTGTTTATGTGTAGCTTTTTATGATAGGATTGCAGTAAAACATAGGTGAGCTTCTGAATTGTAAATGGGATTTATTATCTGCTGTGTGGAAACGGGAGATAACACAGTTGAGAGCTAGCAGCAGGAGGTGATACTAAAGAGATGTTCCAGAACAGAGCTAATAGATCCCACCACAAAAGAGTTTCCAAGTTGCAGCTGAAAAACACAGCTTCTCAGTTTGCTTCCAGCCTTCATTGTGCTCTGAGACCCTCCTAACTCCCATTTGATAGCATGACAGTCTGGGGAGAGGGTTTCTCTTCATGGGTAGCTCTTGGTGAACACATCAAAGTGCAACTGACATATTTCTGTTTATAAAGACTTGTTTTTTCCTATAGCACGAGCTCTCTGATGGTGACTTGGATATAGATCTTGCTGGGGAAGATGAGGTGAACCACCTTGATGGTAGCAGCTCTTCAGCCAGTTCGACAGCAACTAGTAACACTGAAGAAAATGATATTGATGAAGAAACTATGTAAGTAACTGCAAAAGCCTTTCAGATCATCACCTTGTCTCCCAGGGTAATCATCCTAATTCAGTGGGAACTGATCCATTTGCTATATCACAGGTATGCTGTGGAGGGGATTACAGTGCAATGTGAGGCATGTTTCCTGTGCTGGAAGCCACATGATCTAATAAGTTAATTATTAAGCATTGAATTTTTGTTCAGCTTGTTACTGTCTTTCTGAGCTCTTCATTTTAATGTTGTCATCTGTCTGTGACAAGTGATAGTCTGTGAAGGTTCTTTACCAAAACAATGAAGAAATCTGTTTCTCAGTGGAGGAGATGTTTGGTATTGGGAAGTGTTGTAGTAGCAGGAGAGTGATAATAAGGACAGTTTCTTAGACTAGAGAATTTAAGCTTGTAGCTGAGACAGTGTGAAATCCTAGAATCTTCATTAACACATGAGAATGTGTTGGAACCACATACAAATACAGAATTTTGCACTTTGGACTTCTAGTTAGCAAGTCAGACAATTAATGCACTTTGATTTGTTCAGTTTGTGTAGCTGGGAATGCAGGAAATACTATCTACAGTGCTTTGTGGTGCTGTGGTGGTATGTGCTGTAACACTTAACAGGACTGAAAAAAAGCTAATAAGTGTATTCTCACTTTTTCACCCCAATCATCTCCTAAGGTCTGGAGAAAATGATGTGGAATATAGCAGCAACATGGAGTTGGAAGAAGGAGATCTGATGGAGGATGCAGCAGCTGCTGCTACTCCTGGAGCATCAGGTATGAAAAACAGCCTTCAGAATTCCCATCTGTGCAGAACGCTGCTGGATTCCTTCCCCTCTCCTTCTTGGAAGCAACACCAAGCTGCGTGCTCTGCAGGCATTGCTATTTTTGGAAGTGCTGCATCATGTGGTTTGTACAGATTATTGCAGTGGAGTAGAAACGTCTCATCGGTTCGATTAGAGAAAAAAAAAAAAAAGAGGGGGAATCTTCTGAAAGTGCTTTTTTAAAAGGATGCATAATTTTGGAGGGATGCTCTGCTGCCCCTGAGACCCCTTTGCCTCTGATCAAAAGCAGAGGGACAAACAGCTTTGTCTGGTGCCTGTGTGACGTCCGAGTGCCTGACGCATTCACTGGGATGTTAGCACACTGTACAGCCTCAAGTACGTGGGGGGAATGAAGAATCCTTGCAAGTCAAGCAGAAGTACATTTTAAGTGCAGTAATGAAAAGGTGCTCTAAAATCTTTTACTGCCTAGATATGATTTTAGCCCAAATAAGCCATAGGTTAATAAGATTCTGAAGGAAATGTGTCTATTGGATTTAAGTGTGTTTATTTATGGCAAAGGTATCGGAAGTGACATTCACTGGAAGTGGTATTTATGCTGCTGTGGAATTCTGCTAGTGCTTGAAAGACAAAAGTCTTTAACTCCTGCTTTTAGCTGCTGTTTCAAAACTACTTGAAAATCCCTGGTGAGCTAGGCAGTTGAGGGATGGGTCTGTTTCCTTCTGAAAGGAAAGCCTTTAGAGTAGTACAGTAGCTGTGGGAATGGCATTTATTTAGGAGGCTCTAGATAGTACTTTTTAACAGCATTTGTAAAAAGCTGGCACAGTCTCTTCCCTTGAGCTTCTTGCATTTACCTGCTTGCACTGTTTTCCAGCCTGAATGTCAGTACTGTCATCTGTCCTGATGGGGAGTTCTACAGCTTTAGTCTCACAGATGTAACTGTTTTCTCCAAAGCCTGTATTCCTCTTTTTGAGTGCCTTGGCCACTGTGTAATGGGAATATGGTAACACAGAGCAGAACCCAACAGAAGATCCCACTCTTAATCCAGTTGGCAGGGGGAACACAGAAGTTTGTGTGTGTCTTCACAGTACCTGCTCTTTGTATTGATTTATTTACCAATCTAGTTATAAAGAGATTGATGTAGAAGACAGGAAGTTTGATTACTTTTTTTTTTTACCCATCTAGTGATTTTTGGTTTAAATGTTTAGATAGAAGCATATCTGATTGCTTTCAGAATCCATGAACCTATTAAATAATACCAATGTCTTGAGTTTCTTGGAATGTTTCTCATTCCTAATCTGCTTGGGGAACTCTTTGCTTTCACAGGGACTATGCATCACCTGTGTCCCATGTATGTACACTCTCTCTGTAACCCTGTAGGTACCAGCCACAGCTATACCAGTGCAAGTGGAAGACCTTCAAGGCGGGGTGGAAGTGCCCTGGGCTCAACAGCCAGTAGCAGTTTACTCGATATAGATCCCTTAATTTTAATCCACTTGTTGGACCTGAAAGACAGAAATGGTATGGAGAACCTCTGGGGCCTTCAGCCACGTCCACCTGCCTCTCTTATGCAGAGCAGAGGTAACTGTACAACCTGTTAGATGATTTAATTCCAACCTGGAAATGTCTCTGAGAATGCTGTCCTGGAGTTAGAAGCAGATTTGAGGAGGGGAGGAGGGGGAAGGGAATGACAGGCTGTCCTTGTCACTGATAGTTCTGCTTCCATCTCCTCCTCTGTGCTCATCAGTGTGCTGCATCTCACTGCCTGCTCTAACACAGCTTGGTCTTAATGGTTGACCTCCACTTGAGGACATGGGATCAGTCAGCTAAAACCAGAAGTGTGTATCAGGGAGGGTCTTCTCATCTCTTCCTGGGGGATGTGACTGATGGTGTTTGGTGTAGCACTGTCATAGAGCTGCAGTTCATGTCTTTGACTACAGCTGTGGGAGATGGGGGAGAAGAGCCCTTTTCTAGGAGTTAGCACTGAAAGAACACCACGAAACAGCTGTCTGCTCAGCAAGCAGCTACACCTCTCACTTCACACAGTGTGTACACTGTGTAGCTCAGAGCACAGTGTACACTAACCAGAAAATAAATTCTGGAATTTACTTCTGTGTGAAAAAGGCATTTAAAATAGAATTAGGAAAATGTGTGTAGTAGTAAGGCTGGAAAAGCACATGCAAGCACTCGTGGAAGAAAAATGGATCAAAATGTCAGGAGCCAAAAATAGTGGTGGTATTTAAATAATTGAAGACTTTGAAGAGTATTTGTGGTTCAGTTAGGACTCTTCAGCCAAAAGCTGTGATTAACTCATGCGCAGGGAGAGCAGCATAGCTGGTGGTTCTGGCACCATGGCTGTTGCTGAAGGGTGCTCCTTTCTCCTCTTTTGCTAGCAAAGAATTAAAATTGAGTCAAACCTCGATCATGGAGTTATCATGATTAATGCTTACTTGGACCTAGCTGGCCTGCTACTTCAACATCATATTTCGGGTCATTCTGAAACAACCATTTGGTGACTTAATAGAACAGAAGAGAAATAATGGTCCATTGGCCACAAATAAATGCTTGCTTTTGCTGCAACAATGAGACTGGAGTTGCTGAATGGAAACGCTGGCTCCAGCTATTTGCTCCTTTGTGACGAGTGTTTTTCATGTAGCCACGTAAGCAGTCAGATGGATTTTCAGCTGAAGTAATCCATACTGCCAGAAATGGAAGTCACTTCCAGAAGTACAAAACAGGGGAGGCAGCACATGACTGTAAGTCTCAGCTCTTTTGCCTGGAAAAAAAGCCCAGACAAAAGGCCCTTAAGAGAGGGCATTGTACTTTGTGCTGTGCTACTCCAAGAAGATTAAGCTTTCCCGTTGTGTTGAATGGCTTCCTGGTCACCTTTAGCCACTGGCTACAGAGCTGAAATTACCTGTTCTGCTGGGGTTCCCTTAAGGTTTGACTGTTCCCAGGGCTTAATCAAGTCAGTCAGCTCAGAGAGAGCTGCTGTCATGTTTGGAGTTTGCCAGACTTCACCTCCTGAGGTGAAGGTTTCCAAGAGCCACTTGGTTTTACTGTTTTGAACAGCTGAATTTGCAGTAAAACACTCACAGAATTTAGAATGCTTCAAATAGCCATCAAAGTTGATCTAATTCTGTCTGAGCAGTATGTAGGCTTACTTGGGTATTAGCTCCTCAACTTGATCTTCTGGTGTTAGGTACTTAAGGGAATTCCTCCCTTAGTTTCAGATTTCTAAGTTCTAGATGTTAATGTGGTGTGTTGGTGGTGTGAGAAACTTAAACACATGCTTGACAAATTTTATAAAAACATGTAACAAATTGGGCATAAACTGTCATCCAGGCTTGTGAACTCAGGCTTGTCTGGAGTGGTAGCTCAGTTGTTAAATTCATGCAGCAGTTCTGGGGCCTTGTCCATGGCAGGCAGGGACTGTCGGTGCTGTCCTGGCAGCTGTGCCACGCCTGCCACCAAAATCTCCTGCTGCCACGCCAGTACAGAAGAGTGGCTCTCTGTCCCTTGTGGTTACAGCAGGGCAAAGGTAGAATTCTTACAGCTGTTGAAAATATAGAGGACTGGTTTTATCTGAGAAGTTTCATTTACCTGTTGTGTTTTTAACTCTTCCTTTGTTAAAGCATCGTCCTATTCTCTGAAGGATCGGGACCAGCGGAGGCACCAGGCGATGTGGCGTGTGCCACCTGACCTGAAGATGCTCAAAAGACTTAAAACTCAGATGGCTGAAGTGCGAAGCAAAATGTCTGATGTGAAGAACCAGCTCTCAGAAGTGAGAGGGGGCAGTGCTGGCTCCTGTGATGGACAGCCCAGCTTCTTCTCCATCGAGCAAGGCGCTTTAGCTGCCTGTGGAACGGAAAGCTGCAGCAAGCTGCAGGAAATAGGAATGGAACTACTGACAAAGTCTTCAGTGACCAGTTGTTACATAAGGAATTGTAAGTGCATAGAAAAGAGGGGACTTTAAATGTCACCATTACAGATGTCAGTTGTGTAGGTGGTTTATATATCCAGGCTTCTGGAAATAGACCTTTTATAGTTACTCATACTCGAGTTCAGCTGGAAGAATCCAGAAACTTGAAACTTGTACTGCCTTTGAGTAAGTAACTGCTACTGAAACTGGTTTCAGCCCTTATCAGTAAAAGCACCAAAACTGACATGGAAGAAGTGCAAGTCCTGTAACCTGCCCTTCCCTGCTGCTTTTGAGGTCCTTTGTTGCACTGGACTTTGAACTCAAGAGCTGAAGGGATGGCTTGGGCTGTGCTTGTCCTTTTTGCTGTCATGGTGGCTGAAGCAGTCTGGATGATGGCTTCCTGAAGGGTGTCCTAGTGTGTGCCAGGTGAACATTACTTGTGCAGTCTGGGCTCTGTCCATAGCTAGCCAAGCTTCCCTCTAGCCCACAGCTTTGACAGAAGGGTGTAGAATGAATTTTGTGCAGGATTGGGAGATAATGAGCAATGAGATATGAATATGGAGCTTAACATCACTTAAAACAAGCATGAAGACAGAACACTGCAGCAGTTTGATTGCATACTTGTCACATTCTAAAATATGTTTGCAGCTGCAAGTAAGAAGGGTAACTCCCCCAAGCCCCTTCGCTCGGGAGCAGCAGGCAGCCTGTCCCTGCGCAGAGCCATGGACTGTGGGGACAGCCTGCGGCCCAAGGGGGACGGCCAGACCGCCGACAGTAAGTGAGGACATCTTCCCTTGGGTGATGGGATGCATCTTAGCTTCTCTTGTACAAAAGCTTCTCAGGAGGCCTTGTACTCGGCAGCTGAAGTTTGCCTTGAAGTTTTCTCAAAGCTCATTAACACTACTGTACCTCTGATAGCTGGTCTGCCATGAAGCGGTGCCGCACCGCGACGCCTCGTGTGCTACACGGCACTTCTTGTCTCTCTGAAGGTGTTTCAGGAACTCAATTTATAGTGCAAATCACAGATCAAAAAGTACTGACTCAGGCTTAAGTTGTGATTTGACTTTTAAGGGTAATTCAGGAAAACAGCAGACAGGTGTGACGAGAGAGCTGTCTGATATTGCTGCTCCTGAGTTGTACAGTGCCCTTCCTCAAGGGCAGTGAAACAAAACACCTAACACAGGAGGTGGTGCTTGGCCTCTCTGAAGCATTCAGGGAAGGAGTGGTGTATCACAATTGTGTTCTCACAATGCTAAATACAGGTGGAAGGCTTGGGTGAGAAACTGGAAAATGCTGTAAGCACTGTGCCCAGCCTCACCCTTGCCCAAGGGCAGAAAGGCTGCCCCACTGCAGCCACCTTGCACCTGCTGAAATCCAGCTCTGGGTGTTTCAAGTGGTATCCTTGACTTGAAAAGAGCGAGGGGGGAAAGCTGCACTTGTGCATGCACGTGTGAACCAAACTGGTGATGTGAAACAACTGGATGCTTAATCTTCCAAACTGTGGATGTGCTTTGAGTTTCTTGCCCTGTTCTCAGGTGGCATGGGGAGCTCGAAGCTGAGCGGCCGGCATCACTCTGCCCGGCCCCTGGCTAACAGCACTGCTGCCGAGGCGCTGCCGAAGCCGGAGGAGAGACCTTCTGAAGGGTCAGATTCTGATGTGGGAGTTTCTGGCTTAAATGGCTTAGCTGCTGTAGAGAAGAGCAGAAAAGTTGGTGCTCTAGGGTAAGGGGTTTATTCTTTTTTCCTCTTATCTCCTCCCCCACCTTCCCTTGATCTAGAAAGGAAAAAATACTGATCTGCTAAAACCAGGTGCTTGTAGCGTGGAAGAGAAATTACTTTGAAGTTTGTGGTTGCTGCTGTTCCCTCTGGATATCAATTTTTGATTTTATAACTAGGTTACAAGTTGTCTTTTTTTTTTGTTTTTTCTTTTATTTTCATGAGCTGTAGATGTAGTCTGAAACTTTGGTCTGAAAGGCAGGCCTGGTCTTTTTTCCCACTATTCCTTGCAAAATAATCTCTAGATGAAAGTTACCACTTCTGACTTCCTCATTTAAGACAATATATTGCTATGACTCTACTTTTCAGCAGTTTGATATTAACTCCCTGTTGGCTAACCACTTTAAGTGCAATGGAGTATTTAGTTGTTGGGTGTTTTTTCTAAATAGCAAGAGTCATCAGTTTTGGAAAATGCTTATCACAAATTTTTCCATGTTGTAAGATTTTAAATATTTCTAAATCAATCAAAGCTGGAAGCTTAAGTGAATATGCAAGAGACTTGAGCAATGAGTAAAACTAGATGTGGCACCAAAAGCATTTGTTTCCACAGCTGGATTAAAGCTGAATTTCTAACCTGGCTTTTTGTATTTCTCCTAAATTCTTTCTTTAGCTCAAATTCTAAAGGATGTCGTACAGAAGGAGCACAGTCAGGTGGTCTGGAAAACAGCTCTGAACCTGGTGAACTGCAGGGTCTGCTTTCTGAGGGGGCTTCTGCAGGGGCAGAGGAAGGTAAGTTGGATGATGTAGAGGGCAAATGCAGTGTGACAACTCTCTGGTCTATGGTGATCCATTTCTGTAATGGAAATAGCTTGAAGAGGAAAGAAAAGGAGAGAGAGGGAAAAATCCCACAAACCAGCAAAACCTCTAACCTGTTTTCATGGCTGTTGAACTTTGTAACATTTGGCAGCTGTTTATAAATTTGAACCAGGAGAGCACATGTGTGTGCCACTGCTGTCTGAAGTAGTGATGTTGTGCTGCAGCAGGGAGAGAACGTTACGTGGTGCCGTCTGTTCTCGGGGCTGCTGCTTCCCTTCATAGCTCTTGGTGTCCCCAGGTCTCTGCTTTGGTGTTCAGCTGCATGGCCTTGAAAGTAATTTCTTGTCAAATTAAAATAGTAGCCAGTGACCTTGGCTTTTGAGAGTTCTGCCTTCAGGGACAGTCTACCCTGGTAACTACCTCCATGTCGCACTAGAGCCTTTCCAGCGCCTCAGTCGTGTTGGGTGTTGTACGTAAGCCCGTTTCCTTAGAGACTTGGAGGAAACTTTCCCCCTCCCTTCCTGCATCCTTTCCATGCTGGAAAAAAATATTAACTGCCTTTTTTTTTTTTTTTTTTTTGGAACTCCACATAGAACAGTTTTTTCTTATCTTGCTAACACTCTCCTGCCTTCCACCCCTGCACTCATTTGAATTTCAATGACTGGATTGTAGCGCAAAGCCTATATTAAGGTGCCAGCATCCATCTCTATCTGCAGCGTGCACTGGTGTGTAGGAGGTGGCATTAACAGAAGGTCTCTCAGTGACAAAACTGAATTTCTGCTCTTAGTCACTCCAGCGTGATCGTGATGTGCTCCCACAGCTCTCCTATTATAACAGAGAGCCCAATATGAAAATGTTTTAGAAACTGAAATACTTCATTGTTAAAAACCCCAGGAAAAAAATATTACCCTTTTTTTTTTCCAGAGGAAAACCTACAGTAGAGTTGGCACTCTGCTCTTTCTTAGCAATGAGTGTCAGCTCTTGAGGTAAAACTGGAGCAAACCCCTTTTGGCCCCTACAGAACAGTATGAAAGAGAGAATTTTGACTTCTGTCAATATGCTGTCAGGGTCTGGCAAAACAAAAGAAGCCACCTTTGTTAACAACTATGGGTTGGGTTTTTTTTTGTAGGAAGAGCACGGGTTTTGCATGTGAAACTTGAATTAGAGTATTGCTGCTTGGAGGTACGCGTGCTCCATGGGTCCTGCTGACTCCTAACTGTTAAAAAGCAACATTTATTTTCTGTCCTAACTGTAGAATTAGACTGAGCAGCTGGCTGGGGAGTGTGGCTTGGACAGGAAGGGGCTGTGGACACCTGAGTCTGCTTAGCTGGTCCCATGCTGAACCTGCTCCTTGTGCCTAAATGTGATTTCACTGTGCAGCTGTTTCTGAAGCTGGTACCACTGCTCTGTCACGTTTTGTAGCGCTTTGGTCAATACCTTTTGCTCTTCCCTCTCGTTCTCCTGCCAGCTCTTGGTATGTGATGTTGGTCACTCTTAGGTGTGACCAAGTCAAGCTCCAGCTATGTAGATTTGCTGCCGTCATTTTTGCCTTGTGGCTTTCGGTTTTTTGGGTTTTCTTGCAGCTGGGGTATGTCAGAAGCATGTCCTTCATCTCCTACCAGGGATGAGCAGTGACAGTGACATCGAATGTGACACAGAGAACGAAGAGCAGGAGGATGGCGCGTCTGCCTCGGAGGGGTTTGACAGCACCTTCTCTGCCCAGTCCTCCAGCCAAGGTAGGAGCAGGGTGCACCCACCTCCCCAAACGCTCCTCGAGCCTGCCCTGGGGCTCCCTGAGCAGAACACTGCTGAAGCAGAGACCACACATGGTGCCTTGGGTGTTAGTGTTCCAGCCAGTGCCAGCAAGATTTGGAAATCCTCTCCTGGGATCCTAGCTGAAACCAGATCAGAACAGGAGAGGGGAACTCTGTCTGTCCTTGGGAAGTCAGTTTAGGTGAGTCTTGCAGGGAAGTGTTGGAAAACCCACAGCTCTTGTTCTCTGCACTGGAACTCCCTGTGTACCAGGACCTGCACTGTAAGTGGCTGGTTTCAGGAGGTAAACTCTGCCTTAGACATGGTTTTGCATCTTAACTGGCAGGAATGTGCTTTGAGCCTTTCAGCATAGTTTCAAAAACTCCTTTTTTCTTTGAAAAGCTTTAACCTTTTGATGAAATTAAAAGCTGAAAGGTGACAGCTGGCACTTGGTGAAGTTGACTGTTGGCCTGAACAAGTGTCCCACATAGCATTAGCAGCATGGCCTAACAGCCTGGCACAGGACCTGGTGTTTGCTGCTTTGCTGTGTGTCTGCAGCAGGCACTAAAACCTCACAGCCCACGGGAGGAATCAAAACATCGCTCGTCTCTTTGCTTGACTTAGAAGGAACTTAAACTTAAAACCCTGTGGCAGTCTTAACTGTGTCAGGCATGTTGTGTACTGGTGTGCTAGGGATGAAGCACAACACAGCAGGCCTTGCAGGTGATGGAATGTTGAGTTGCTGTGTTCCAGTGGCTCACTGGTAAAGGTTACTGGGACTTTGTTTTCAGCCTCAGAGCGGTGCTCAGTGTTCCCAGAAGGTGATCAAGTCGGTCCTGATGATCTCAGCTTTGCTACTGGAGAAGACAGCACCAGGTAATTGTAACTGTTCACCTTAGCCAGCCTGTGAGGTGGCTGCAGCCCTGGGGATGCACGTCCCCTATGGTTCCTCAAGATGCAGAGATGGCAGACACTGTTCATCTTGCTGTGAGTAGACGGGAGGGTGTTCAGCAGCCTGGCCTCCTGTGCTCCACTGCAGTTCTAAGGCAGAGGGAGGCCTGGCTGAGTTTTGCACGCTGAAGTCATTGTCAGTAGGAAACTCTGATTGGATTTAAGTACCTGGCATAAAAATTTAGACTTGCAAGGCTATGTTTGCTTGAAGCCTTAAAGCTGTGCCAGGGTGAGGGTTTGCAATGACAGGTGCCTTTCTTTGGAGCAGATAGAGAACAGGCTCTGGGTCTGAAGACCTGCTGGCTCGTGTCCCAGGGAAGAGGTGGCTTATTCACTGGAGCCCAGTCCGAGGCTGCTGTTCCTGGCTGTGTGCACACTCCGTTTTCTCAGACACCCTCACGTGGTTCTTCTACAGTTGTCTTAAACCTGTTACTGGGGCACAATGACCTTCGAAGGCCTTACACTAAGGGTTGCATTCCGGCTGGCTCTGCCAGCTCCAGATGCTCTGAAAAATGTCCAAAAGGTGCTGGAGCCCCGTTCCAGGACGTGTCCTATTGTGTCATTGGAATAACCACCAACCTGTGAATGTCCTTGTGTTAAAGTGTCTGAGCTGTGTGTGGCTGCTGAATCCTGCAGGGGCGATGGAGCGAGCGCTGGGGCCCCAGAGCTGCCGCAGAAATCGTCCCCCTCAGTCTGTCGTGTGGACCAACTGAACACTTTGCCAAACTTCGCCACTGCGTGTTGCATTTTGAGCTGCTAAACTACTTGTGAAGCTATGAGGAGAGCTGAATGCCTGGTTAGTGATGGAGCATGAGTAGCTGTAACCGGGAGCTGTCCTCGTCTCAACGGCTGTACTGATGTTTGTGAATGTTCCACAGTGTTCAGTGCTGTACAATTCATAGTTAAAAACTGTTTGCACTTTGTTAATAAAATGAATGTTGAAATTTGATGTGAAGTTTTTAGACATTTGTGTGTAAATAAGTGAAAGAGTAGGGATGGACTGTCAGGGTTGGTTGTAGGCTGTGGCCACGCTTGGTTTCTCCTTAAGTACCATGTTGTTGTAATGCCTGACTGCTGATGGAAGAACTTGTTCCTGCCATCTACCTGTCCCACTCTTCCTCAGTTTTCAATGAAAAGCTCTGAAATCCATCTGGCATTTTTAAAGCTATGTATGTCGAAGCCAGACCAAATCTTTAAATCTTCCATATTCAAACAGGAATGGAGGAGGATCCACAGTTTTTATGCAAACTTGGTTTTGTATTTCTCAGCTCCAGGAAGGAGGTGCAGCCCTGAGCTGCCTTGTGTGCAGGTTCTTCCACCTCCTGCATCCTGACAGGGGCCTGTGACAACCTGCACACTTGGGTGGTGCCTTGTGAGTGTTTACTGTTGTACAGGGCTGCATGTTGATTATTAGACACAGCTCAATTAGCAGTAATCAGAGAGCTCTGCCTCTTCAGCACTCACAGATGCTTTACTCTTAATTTGCTGCAGCTTGGGCCTCTTATTATTTTGATGAGCCACAGGATTGGTTCTGGAGTTTCAACCTTTGCAGGGACAAGAAGGGAGCTGGTACCATCATGCTTTGCTCACCTTGTGGAGAACCTGTTTTTAAAAAAGAGGTGGGAACAGAGGCTTGGAAAATTTAATTGTCTAATTAATTTACATAGCCTCTCCCTTCCCCTTCTGGCTGTAAAACAGATGAGAGCAGGGCTGCAATAGGCCCTGGGTCACCACACAGCCCAGAGCTGAATAGTGTTGCTCTCTGTGACACGGCCCACAAAGGAAATCTGCTTTCACACAGTAAAGAAAGACACTTAATTCAGATTTGTTAGCTCTTAAATAAACAGAATATCTGAAGTGTGGTTTAAATTACGGTTTTATTAAGATCGGTAAAGCTTCAACAGTTTTTCCTGTATAAACAGCTTTCATAAATAAAATATGGATGACTAATACATGGTTATAACTAAACTTGTATGTGAACTGTAGAACAAGAATGCCAATGGGAAGTCCCAACACTGTTAAATGGTTAGCTTTAATTTATTCACTTCATACAGAACACCTTAGTTTGATGAACAAGGTAATACACAAAGGTCAACAGGAGCACCCAGTGCAGCAGCCACCAGCACGCCTGGCTCTGCACACGTACTGCTGCAGGAGTGGAGGTGCTGGGGGTGACCTCAGCCAGCTTCCCCTGCTCTTGTTCCGAGATGTTTTCCAGAGTGAAGGAGAGAGAAAAAAAAAAAACACCACACTAACAATGCAGTTGTGACATACAAGAGTTGTACTAGACCCTAAGAGGTGGGGTTTGTTTGTCATTTAGCTTTAATGCTGGCAAGTACAGTGCGGTCGCCTGATCAGCGAGGGCTGGAGAAGGATACGAACGTTCACCTCAGAGGTTGTCTTAATGCTTCATTAGTACTTATTGCACACGATACAAGGGTAGTAAGTTTTGTTCCTGTTGCAAAGAGGATATGAATTAAAGAAAGATTGCCCTAAATTACAGGCATGAACAAAGCTGCAGTATCCCCTTTGATGGCTTTGTTTATGTGACTAGTGCGGGGTGAGTTAATTGTGCTAAAACAGCCCCTAATTTAGACCAATCTTTCTCATTTGTTTTCCCGCAGAACATTGCCAGGGTTGGGAGGATTTAGTGGAGATAGTGGACCTGAACTACAGCAGCTGTGTCTATAACACTGAACTCGTTATGCCTCATCTTATCTGCCCATAGGACAACGCGTTTCTCACTGACACACAGTGTTCCAAAAACGGAGCGGAGTTTCTATGACGATGCACCACTATAAATGTGGCGTAAGTTAAAGTCTGCTTTGACATTGTCCTTCCGTGTTACGACGCAATCTAAACCAAACGCTGAATGGTGTTCGCTTGCAAGGACAATGGATGGCACTTCTAGGTAAAGAAAAGTTATATACATGCGTTTCCACCCACCTTTAGTGCAAATCGAAATGGGTTAACAGCTCCCTGGTCTGGTGCTATACTGCTCTCTGCAACGCAGACGTTCCTCAGAGTTGCACATTGAAAAAGTACACAGGAAACTACCAGCGTGGGGATTGAGCCAATCCCGCCAGTACTCACAGTGAAGAGCTTACGAGCGAGTTTTGAGCCGCTCCAGACAAAGCGCCTGGAGCCCGTTTCTCAAAACCAACACAATTTAAAAACAAAAATAATGTTTTCACTACCTACCTCTGCAAACACGTAAACTGAAACTGATGCGGGCTGTGTTAACGCGGCAAAGGGATACTTCAGCTCTTTATTGGAAAGATTCGTTATACAAATTTCACCACCACTAAGATACACGATAAAAATACAAAACACAGGTCACAGACTGAATTCTCAGTATCAACAGTTAATAAATACAATTAGATACTTTTATATTAGCCTAATATTTTTACATTGTCACCAGATAGACAATCAAAGTACGAGATACAGAACACGTAGATACCATTAGAGAGGGATTATTGCTTACGTTAGCAAGCAGCAAATAAGGGCACAGGATTTTGAACTGAAGAGAACTACTTCCTATCACCAGTGGCATTAAGAGAAAACACTGCGTTTCACAAAGCACTGCTTTTTTTGTCTAGTGTGTAGAATCAAGAGCAGCATATATCAGACCAATAACCACTACTTTTAATATTATAGAACTTTAAAGGACTTACCTTACAAATGGTTCCTATCTACTCTATAAATATGCAGTTAGTGAAGAAATGAACACTTGCTACCTATACAATGGTTTTACCTGACCACACTGGAACTATGATGGTAGATTTTTTTTTTTTTTCTCCTAGCAAGATAAATGGTATGAGAATTATCATTTATGAATCCACACCTAAAAAGCTAGATCCTTCCCAAAACACACGCAGTCCGGTGCTCTTCAGCTGCTCCTGCGGACTGGGAAGAAGTTTTGTCATCCACAACGGTTTTGTCCTAATTTACTCACACGAAGAATTGCACTTACACCACCTTTCTCTCCAAAGCACGACAGGCAGCTCTAAGATGGACTTTCAACATGTCATTATTACTGTGAATAATTTAAAACAAAGGCACCACAGAGATGCCCCAGAGTTGCATATTTTATCGTTTCATGGTTTCTCAAATTTCCTCGGTAAATCTGACTTGGAACATATGCTGCAGCTAAAGAGAACGTTGACAACAGCTAAGGCTTAATAAGATGACAGATAAGAGCCAATGATCCCGTAAGATTAAAAAAAGAGTCTGAAAAAGATCAAAGGAATCTAAAGCCACGCTCCAACTCCTGGCTACTGACAACGCTTTTTGCTATTCATCAGATTGCTTTTAAAATAGTGCATCAAAGACAGAAGAAGCAGAAATTGGCAGAATTCAAACCGTGCCATCTTGTCGTGTTGAATAATCTCCTGACTACTTAATATTAAAATACTTTGCAAATGCTAGCTAAATACTAATACTGTTATTAAAGTCTTACTGCTAAAATGATATGAATTGCACAAGAAACGCATATGAGGACTGATTTTATTCCTGCTCCTCCAAATGTCTTCCTGTGACAAAGGATAGTGACAGGAGGTGCATTTAGTGGAGCTGAGGGGAACCGCCCGTTCACTCACGTCCCAGTTACCCGCCTCCCCGTGGGCTGAGCGTCACCTCCAGAGAAGGGAAGAGCCAGTGGCTCCCCTTCGTTTCCCAGTGTGACAAGAACACTCTGCTTACAAAAATAAGGGCAACTGACCTTCCTCACTTTCCCCTCTGAACCCAGGTTTAACCAAAGCAGAGCTCTGGCTTGTCAGGGAGTCTCACCCCCTCTCTGCACTAGACCCCAAGTGCAGCCCCTGCTCATCCACCTCCACAGTATTTCCGTCTGCTTTGGATGGCTCCGGCAGCCCGGCATCCTGCACGGGCTGGAAAACACCAACCTGCAGCAGTGAGGCTCCCTGTAGG